CATATTGTCTTTTATTTTAAATTAGGTATATAATGAATTAAGTTGTTAGTTTTTACACATAATGTTTTCTATTGTCAAAGTAAGACTTGAAGATTAAAAGAAAAAAAAAAAAAAAAAGAGCAACAGAGGACAGGAACTCTTTTTGGTGCAGTTGTTCTGGGCCTGGGTGTTTAAGAAAGAGACAAGCGTTCAGGAAGATTTTCTCAGGGACCCAGAAAAAGCATGCACGTTGAGCTTAGCAATGGATTTCCTAGGTGGTACAAATGGTTAACTTTATTGGCTGCTAACCAAAAGGTTGGAGGTTTGAGTCTACCCAGAAGCACCTTGGAAGAAAGGCCTGGCAGTCTACTTCCAAAAAATCAGCCATTGAAAATCCTTTGGAGCACAGTTCTCCTCTAACACACATGGGTCACTATGAGTCAGAATTGACTTGGTGGCAGCAAGTTACTGGTTGAGTTTAGCAGGCTGCACAGAGCGTGCTTTCTGTCTGGAAGCCATGAACTGATCCAGAAATACTCCTGTAGAAAGAACCTTCCTAATTCAGTCTCCAAAAGCCTGCGGTTTTTAAAAAAGAAAGATTAGTTTAAAAAGTTTTTTTTTTTTTGGTGTTTGTAAAGAAGCTGTGAGATGTTGTTGCTGTAGAAATTATTCATCAGACTCCTAACAGATCCAGGGTGGGGGTGGGGTGTGCCTTCTCAAATTACAGAAAAAGAGGAAAGAGAATACCAGGAACTCAAAGTCCTTTTATGCTGCTCTTCTGGGCACTGCCCCTGTAACAGGTATCTGCTAACCTTCTATCTGATTAGCCTTGTCTTTCTCCCATGACAAACAACGGGCGGGCCCTTAATTCCCTTTAACCCCTTCTGCCAGGGGATGGAGCCTGTCTCTACCTGTTTAGCAGCTGCTTCAGCCTGTGGTACCAGGACCCTTTTATCTTGCTTGTCTAACCCTGTTCAGTTCTGGGGAATTTATCTCCCCCTTTTATCATCTCCTGCTCTGAACTGACTGAAGGGACTTTGCATGTTCCTCTCCTCCTGGTACCATAATCCCTCTGGAATGTGCCCTGAAGGGAAGTTTCAACTCTGACTTAGATCCTGACAGCCCAAGACATCAAGGGGTATCCTGCTCAGGGGTGCCCAGCGGGAGATCAGGCTTTACTGGGCAGAGCTAGGGTGTGAACTTGCACGCTTGCCCATCTTAGGACACTTCACATCCCTGGCCTGTTAGTCTCAGTGGGTATTCAGAGCCCCTCAGTTAAAGTTTAGTGTAGAACCTGGGCCGTACGTAGCTCAGCTGGGATACCTTGCTCCCTGGCCCTCAGCCTGCACTGCCCATCAAGGGGGGCACATTGAAAGCCTTCCTTGACTTCTCCTCTGGTCCTTTCCTGCAGGAGGTCCTGCACATAGGAAGTGCCCACAACCGAAGCGCCATGCCCTTTACTGCCTCACCTGCCTCCAGCAGTACCCCCAGGGTCATCACCAACCAGTACAACAACCCAGCTGGCCTCTACTCTTCTGAAAACATCTCCAACTTCAACCACGCCTTGGAGTCAAAGACGGCAGCCAGCGGGGTGGAGACAAATGGCAGCCCGTAAGTCGGCCCAGGAGTACTCCTCCAGGCCAGCCCTGGGAGAGGTTTCTCACACCTGGACCAGGTTCGCCCAGGCTGGTGAAAGAAGGTAGAGCCGCTACCCCAGGGAGGAAAAGGTCTGCTTCAGTGAGTACCGTATTTTTACATAAATAACATGTGTTATATATTTTTTGCAAACGGTGCCATCCCCAATTCGTAAGCGTGCTACGCTAATTTTTTTTACAGCAACATGTTAAAAAAAAATAGCATAGTGCACTTACGAAAATACCAGGGGGATGTGATTGGCAAAAAAACCCCATGTAACGTGCATTATTTGTGTAAAAATACGATAGTGTCTACATTCGTTTCCCTCCTCTATAAAAATGATGCCCTGGTGGCTCAGTGGTTAAAGTGCTTGGCTGCTAACTGAAAGGTTGGTGGTTTGAACCCACCAGCTGCTCTGTGGGAGAAAGATGTGGCAGTCTGCTTTCAAAAAGATTACAGCCTTCAAAACTGTATGGGGCAGTTCTGCTGTATCCTCTAGGGCTGCTATGAGTGGAATCAACTGGCCAGTAGTGGGTTTGGTTTTTTTTTTTTTTTTTTGTATAAAAATGAAGTAACACTACCTAGCTTGTAGAGTCATGTAAAAATAAGAAAAAAACATGGACAATGTCCAGCATTATGTGTGGCACAAACTGATTAATCTCTGAGACCTATTGTTAATATCGTCCTGATTTCTGTGGTCATCATCATCTTGTGATTGACCATACCCTTCCTTGGCAGGAGAAATTCCCCAGTGTTTATAGTTGGGGAGTGTTTGAGAGGAGCAAGTGTAGCTTCTGCTTGTGTTCACTGATTGAAGTGAGGGAGAAGTACTTTATGATGCACATTTTCGGTGAAGCAGGGTTTGCTCCCCCCCACCCCCCCACCATGGACCAGAAAGTGTAAAAGGTGGAGACTTCCATAAGGATATGTTCCTCTCACAGGAACAGTTTCTGAGCTGTGGGCAGAGGCAGAGGCAGCAGAGGCAGCTGAACCAAGGGCAGTGGCAGGGCTGCAGATGGAAAGGGTGGAGTGTCCGAGGAAGCATCTTCTCAGGGCTGGGAGGCAGGTCCTCCCCTGTTTTTTTTTTTTTAATTTTTTTAATTGTTGTAATTAAATGAAGTTTACATTTCAAGTTAGTCTCCCATACAAATTTTTTTTTTACATACATTTTTATGAGACCCTAATTGCTCACCCCATTTTGTGACAGCACACTCCTCCTTTCCGCCCCTGATTCCCCATGACCATTCAACCAGCTCCTAACTCTCTCTGCCTTCCCATCTCACCTCTGGACAGAAGCTGCCCCTTTGGTCTCTTGTGTCTACTTGACTAAGAGACACACTCTTCATGAGTATCACTTTATGTCCCACAGTCCAGTCCAATTCCTGTCTGAAGAGTTGGCCTCGGAAATTGTTTTTGTTCTGGGCTGATGGAGAGTCCAGGGGCCATGCTTTCCGGGGCGCCTCCAGTCTCAGTCAGACCATTAAGTCTGGTCTTCTTACTAGAATTTGAGTTCTGCACCCCATCCTTCTACTGCTCCATCAGCGACCCTCTGTTGTGTTCCCAGGTCCCTTCCTGTTGCAGACCATTTGGTGCAGTTGCCTCTGAGTCTTTATCAAAAGGTTCCTCAGGTCTTCCCAGCAGGGGTGCCCAGCCTCTGTCCATCCCAAACTGGCTGAGGATGAATCCAGAAACAGTGGGAATACTAGCAGCAGCCCATGGCAAACGAACTGGGTTTGAGGATGTAGAGTAAGAGATGAGACCAGATCTCTGTGGGTGGAAACGGGTTGGACTAGATGAGGGGCTTCAACATCAAATGCCCAAAGGTGGCTGGCAGGATAAGGATATGAGAGCAGAGCTCTGAGCACAAACGAGGGAGCAGAGAGGGCTGTAGGGGGCTGGGAAGCATATGCCCCATCCAGAGTGGGGATGCTGCTCCGTGCTCCAGCCGGACCTGCCTGCAGGTCAGATGTTCCCATTTAGGATGATTCCTTTGATTAAAGCAGAAGTTGGAAAGCCTCTTTTTATCTGAAATCTCTTGACTTCTAAATGTTAGTGATAAGCCAGATTTGTTTGAAAACATTATGTGGACCAGACTTGTCTCATCTCTGAGGATCTTTCCCACTTGGTGTCCTCAGTTCTTACATTAACTCTGAAGGTCACTTTCTTTTCAATTTCTCCCCAATTCACCTTTAACAAGAATCTGCCCAGCTTCTAGGAAAATTAAATTGCAAATAAATTGCTTCACATGCCAGTTAGGAGAGGCTGAGGTACCAGAGGTTCCAAACTAGTTACATGTTTGGAAAGGACTGTTGGGAACCCCTCTCGAAGGCTCAGGTACACTGTGCATATAGCCTCTCCACCCCAGAAAGAGAGACAGACGCTATTGGGCACCCCCTGCATACAGTCCTCTCTGCCCAGTACTGAGAGGGTGTTATGATTGCCTTTAAAGTTTCTTAAATGCTAGTAGGCGAGAGGAACAAACACACTTTTGTAACGGTCATTGAAGGAGCCCTGCTGTTAACAATGGTTAAACGCTTGGCTGCTAACTGAAAGACTGGTGGTTCGAACCCACCCAGTGGCTCTGTGGGAGATGGACCTGTTGATTTGCTTCCATAGAGATTATAGCCAAGA